GTTGTTGTTGCTGGTTTCCTGGTGTCTCTGGCTCACGTTGGACAGTTTTTACTCCAGCCCCGGGATCAACCATTTCACCAAATAGCCCTGGCTCTTTTGAGTGAAAAATGGCACTTAGTGACTGGAGTCTGGGCGCTGGAGGTCCTCCCTGCTACTGGCCTTGTTATTGTTCCTTGGCTTTTTGAGTAGACAAAACTAGAATATATGGGCCTCCCTGGTGGCACAAGGGGTTAAGATGCAACCTATGAAGCTTACCGCAGCCTCTGCACCACAAGTTCGATCCCCAGCCAGGGAGCAACCCACATGGTACAGCAGACCTCTCCTGTCTTGCCCACTGCTCCCCTCAGCAGTGTATTTCAGTCAATCTGCCTGTTCTGCTCCCCACTCTGTCTCTGTGAATCCCCTCACCCCTCACACCTCTGGCCTGTGCCCCCGTTCTTGTATGCATAAATAAATAAATCTTTTTGAAAAAAAACTAGAATATATATATATTTTGAAAAAGTTAAGCCTAACATGAGTTTATAACAACCCAGATCACATTCGCACTAGTGTTATTAATCTCTGCTTTCACGTGTCTAGCTCTTTGCTTTTTGCTCATCGTCCAGTCCTTTATCTCCCATGCCTGTTCGCAGTCCGCAGTGATAGCAACATAATTCATTTGTTCTTGTCGCATATACACCACCACCCATCTTTAGGGTGACTTTAGGTTCCTGTTTGCAGGGCCTGTGGTCTCGAGGTGTATCCCACAGGGAATGTGTTTCCAGATTACCTTGTTTAACACCATGTGCTTTGGATTGGCTGTGCCAGGAACTGGATAGAATCTGCTTTGGGTCTTCCTGGTGGCTCAGGGGTTAAGTTGCAGAGCTCTCAGGCTGTCCCCAGCCACTGGCATGTGAGTTTGATCCCTGGCCAGGGAGCTGACCCCCATGGCACAGCAGACCTCTCCTGTCTTGTCTGCTGCTCCCCTCAGCAGTGTATTTCAGTCAGTCTGCCTGTTCTGCTCCCCACTCTGTCTCTGGTGAATCCTCTCCCCCGGCACCTCCGGCCTGCACTCCCGCTCTTATATGCATAAATAAATAAAAATAAATCTTTAAAAAAAAAAGAATCTGCTTAGGTCCATTTTCTTCATTTTACTCTGAAAGTGAGGGATTGCTTTTTAAATTTTTAATTGTTGTATAATTCCTCGTACTGTTTTCATAGTTCTGAAGCCAAATCAAAGAGGCTGTTTTTTGAGAAGGCTGCTATCTTGTTCCTTCTATGCCTTTCCCTCCCTCCCGTCATTGGTAATTTTGGAATTGAATTAGGGTTTGTCTCTTTCATTTTGTAATTATGGTCTTCTCTGAAGATTTACTTTTCCTGCTATTCAGTACAAAATGTTCTGGTCTCATCCTTGGAACCTCAGGACTTGGGGTTCACAAGTACTTTTTTGGAAGCAGGCATGTCATCCCCATGAAAACCCTTGGGGTCTGGTAAGCCCCAGACCCTGCTAGTCTGCAGCCCCTCCAAGCTCAGAGGCCCTAACAGTACAGGGAGCTGCATCATGGGTGCTTCTGGATTCCAGAACCTTCTAGGGAGAGGGAGCCTCCAGCTCTAGCCCTGATGATTGGAACCTAAACCAGTCTTTGGGGGCTGGGCCTTGGCTCCAGAGTGTTCTGCACAAATCCCAGCAATGCTGACATGCCATCAGGGGACCAGGGGGTCCCGAGGACTGATTTATGTCTAGAACCTTGATGCTGACTTTTCCCTAGAGCCACTGCCTTTCCACTGTGCATTTGGATCTTCCTGAATGCCGCCTTTGCACTTTCTCTCCCATTTCCAAAAATGAAGCAGGTTCTGAGAAGGAAAGGGTAGCTGGAGAGAGGAGGGGGCCTTAAGACCTTGTGATGATCCAGGTGGGGGGCTGGGGTCTTCTCCCCCACAGTGTTGTTGACTTCTAAGTTACTCGTCTTTCATTCACATTTTCTTTTTCAACCCTGAGAAAAAACTAACTGCCTCTGCACAGGCTCACCCCTTTCTGCTTACCTGATTCACCGAGGCAATGTTTTCTGTGTCTCGTAGCTTATTTCTATTTCCTGAGGTTTTTTTTTTTTTTTTTTTTTTTTTTTTATAGAGGCATGTTTTATTTATTTGTTTGTTGTTTGTTTTGTTTATACATGCACTGGGTACAGTCAGAAGCGCGGGAGGGTGAGAGAATTCACCAGAGCCAGAGCGGGGAGCAGAGCAGGCAGAAGGACCGAAGTACACTGCTGAGGGGAGCAGCGGGCGGCAGGAGAGGTCTGCGCGCCATGTGGGACCCTCCTCTGGTGGCCGGGGAGCAGCCGGGGATCGAACCGGCGCCCCAGAGGCCGCGGGCAGCTTCGCAACCCAGCGCTCAACCGCTGCGCCACCAGGGAGGCCCCTGAGGTTTTTTTTTTTTCCCCCCCAATCCCGATTCTTCAACCGGATGATCAATCACAGGCTGGGGTCCTGGAACCGCTTCCAGTACCTCTGGAATTTGTTGGCAGAAGATGCCCCTGAGGGGACCTTTAGCATCTCCCCATGTAATCAGATACCCCAAGTAGCCAGGAGTGGGCCCAGCGGCAGGAGGACCCAAGGTCAGGGGCTTTGAGGAGGCCGCCTGCCAAATGCTCCATTTAGAAACAGCTGCCTCACACACCCACACCCTGAGACTCTGGTAGGACCTTGAACTTTGGGGGTGTCGTGATCTCCCCCTGGGATCTTTTAAACACCCCTGTGGTTTCAGAGTTGTGAACAATTCCTGTGAAGGAGCAAGGACTTTATTCTCTGTGGCTTTGGGGACATACTCTTCACCAGGACATACGCTGGCATCAAAGGTGGTGGGTTGTGTGAGCGATTCTGGACCTGCCTGGTTCTTGCTCTCTAGTATGTTTAATTGGCTGAGATTCAACTTTGCTAATGAGTATTTCTGCCCTTGTTCTAGTCCATCCTAGCTGAGGGGTAGGATCTGGGAAGGTCCAGGTCATGAGCTGGCTGTACCCTTTTGTGAACCTATTTGCTCACCTGGGTAGTTAAATGCGGCCCCAGCAGCAAAAGCCTTAGGTGCTGGTGACGACCTCCCTGTGTTCCGCTGCTCTGGTGTCTGTGTCTGTGTTCTTGGCGTGGATGGATGAGCTTAGTCTTAAATTTCTCTTATAATGACACCATGTTAGGACTTCACTATGGAGCTGGGCAACAGGCTATGGTGGTCTTCTTAGAGAAGTTTGGGGTGGCAGGTGTTTCCAGTGGGTTCTGGTGGGGAGCCCCTGGGCTGCTGACCTGGGCTTCATGGCCACATCTGGGCTGGGACTGCCTGTGTGTACAATGGGATATTTCTGCTTCTCTGTGTAAGCCTCCAGATTTTCACCTCATACCAGTCTGTTTTATAACCTGCTGTTTTCGGCCCTTCTATAAACTCGTAAGGCCCCTTCTTGGGATGAGTGACCGGGCAGAGCTGGCCCTGTAACAGCGAGCCTTCATGTTTTTGGTGTGATCTCCTTGACTCTAATCATCTCCCTCATCATTCTTCAGCCAGCCAGCCCTGACCTCTCTCTACAGTGATGAAAACTTGCATGACTCACAGAAGGTGAGGTGTGGTGGGTGAAGTGCATCAACTGAGGGCGTGTACACAGCAGGGCAGGAAGGCTGGGTTTGAGTCACGCCCGTTTGTGGGACGGGGCATCTTTCTGTAATGATGGAGATCCAGTTGGTTGAGAAAACACTTGTTCATTTCGTTTCATGCTTGCTTTCTCGGAGTCTCCCTTCCTCTGGTACTGGCTTGCTCTCATCTGATGGACAGGAGAGATCGATCTACGCAACAGTCAGCTGTTTACCCTGCCCCTGGGAATCGGGAGGGATGGTTCAAAAGGGTGATCACAGTGGAGTTCCTAAAATATGTCCAACCTTTTGGCATTTTTGCCCTTTGAGGACATCTGGGGGCTGCGGGGGTGATGTCTAGGGCTTCTGAGTTTATTCTTGGTGGCTTGGATTTACATTGAGTGTTTGCTTTTCTTGGATGGGGGCATGCCTGCGTATTCAGGGTGGCACAAGCATGGTGCCGAAGTGACTGACGTCAAGGGGCGTGGGTCGGGCAGATCTGGCCCTTTCCTTACCTTTTTGTCTTGGGGAAAAAAATGGCTTTTCCTAAGTCTGTTTGGGAGTAAGCCTCGTCTTTCCTCCCCTGCCTTACTGGTGTGGGATGTTAATTTTTGCCTTGGGGAATAGGTGATCAGCCCAGCAATAAATTGGCTGATGGAGAGCAGCTGATGACAATGTGGTTTAACATGACTTTCCTTTATGGCCGAGGATGCAGAAGGCGCATTCCCTGGGGTATGAGACCAAGGCCACATCCCTTGGCATGGAGTGCCTGGGGGCCTCCCAAACCCTGTTCCTTCCTCATCTTTCCGAAGAAACTGACTCCTTTCTCCAGGATCTGCCAACAAGTGGCGTGTAGGCTGGGAAAGGTTGAAAGGTCCTTTTCTGTGATCTGCCTGTGCCAGTGGCTGAAGTTAGCGAGGTACCCAAGGGAGAATGCAGTGCATCCCTGAAGGAGCAATTTGACTGTCCTTTGGGCTGGATGTCAGGGGTGCAGAGAAGAAAGGGGTGGGCTTGGAGCGGGGCGGTCCACCTGAGCACTTTCCGTATCTCCCCATGCCACTTTCCTGAGTCACCTCGGGCCAAGACGCCCTTGGCACTTGGCCTGCTGTGTCCTCAAGCCCTGCTAGGAACACGCTCCCACATCCAAGGTGTACCCGACACCATGTACTAAGGCGTTGCTGTCTTTGAACTTGCCATTTTGCTTTCTGGCTCTGTTTGGACGAAAGCACTCTGTTTTCCTTCCAGATTAGCGGCGAAGGTGGCACAGTATCAGAAATGCCTTTTCAACATGCTCATACTTTTAAAAGCTAAAGCCAGTGTTCAGAAAAACAGGTGTGACTTGTATTTCTTTCTCTTTTTCCCCTCTAGCTCATATTTCTAATTATAGCCATGCTCTTTCCTTTTAGGAAGGCACCAAAGTCGTCCAGCCCATATTCCTGGGGAAAATTATTAGTTATTTTGAAAACTACGACCCTACCGACTCTGCGGCTTTGCGAGAAGCTTACATCTATGCCACGGTGCTGACCACCTGCACGCTGGTCCTGGCCATCCTACACCACCTGTACTTCTACCATGTGCAGTGTGCGGGCATGAGGTTAAGGGTCGCCATGTGTCACATGATATATCGGAAGGTAAGTGGCCACCAGCATCAAAAGGAGACCCCTTGCTCAGAGCAATAGCTGCTTTGGGGGAAAAGTTGTATGTCCAGCCAACATTTTGTGCAGAGTCCTTGGACCCTTAAAGAGAAGTGTGGATTTGCATCTGCTGGTTTTTGTTGTGCTTTTGTTGAAGCAGGCCCTGTCAGTATATCTTGCAAATTGTCGGGCAGTGATCACATCTGAACATAGCTGGCTGTCAAAAAAACAGATGTATGCTAGAATTGAATGGAAACACAAGCCCCAAATTTATTTTCAGTGTTTTCAGGCCTTAATTTAATATAGTTGTATTGGTGGAAATTTTTGTGGTTGATTAAAGCCTTCATTGACACCCACTGCAGTGGTTGGGTCTAAAAGGTAAATCCAGGAGAAAAAAATATGCTTGACAAAGGTTATCATTATGTTTTCTATGATTTTGTTAACTGAAGAGAAACATAGTTGGATCCATGCCAAATATAGTCTAACTACATTCTGTGGTTATGTTTGTTTTTGATGGTATGAAAGAAGACAGTCGAATTTGTGATAAAATTTGAAATTTAACATTGTATTTTAGTAATTTTAGAGCAAACTGATGGTTCCATTTGTTTTATATTGCTTTTAATTCAAGTCATTGTTTTATGCAGTTATTTCCTTTTGTGTGTATTATAGCATTTGGGTGATAAGACCTAATATGATGGGGGCCTCCCGGTGGCGCAGCGGTTGAGCGCTGGGTTGTGAAGCTACCAGCAGCCTCTGCAGCACTGGTTCCATCCCCGGCTGCTCCCCGGCCACCCGAGGAGGGTCCAACATGGCGCGCAGACCTCTCCTGCCGCCTGCTGCTCCCCTCAGCAGTGTACCTCGGTCCTTCTGCCTGCTCTGCTCCCCGCTCTGGCTCTGGTGAATTCTCTCACCCTCCCGCACTTCTGACTGTACTCAGTGCTTGTATAAATAAATAAATAAATCTTTAAAAAAAAAAAAAAAAAGACCTAATATGATGGGTTCAATATTTTTGTATTGTGAAATGCCATACACTATTCCATCATTTACCCTGGCTTAATTATTATGGAAGGAATAAGGGTATCAGGTGCTTTTTTAATTTTTAATTTATTTTTTCAAAGATTTATCTTTATTTATGCATACAAAAACTGGGGTATAGACCAGAGATGTGGAGGGTGAGAGGCTGATCTACTGAAATGCACTGCTGAGGGGAGCAGCAGGTGAGATATGAGAGGTCTGTTATGCCATGTGGGTCAGCTCCCCGACTGGGGATCGATCTCAGGCCATGGCGGTGATAATCTTGAGCCTTAACCTGTACACCACCAGGGAGGCCTGGTTTCAGGTGCTTTTACAGAGTTACCCACAGATAAGCCAATGTCAAGAGCTGATGGTTTCTTAAACCTCCATCCTGGATATCTCTTTGACTTGAAGTGTTTGCATAAAAAAATTAAAATTCTCCTTTGAGTGTATTATATACTTGCGATTTGCTGAGCTCCGGTGCATTTAAGGGTGCTGACCACCAAAAATAGTTTCTTTTTGAGATGATGGGTGTGTTCACAGCTTATACGTACATCAAAACCTCATGCTGTACACCTTGAATATACACAGGTTGATTAAAACGAATTAACACCCTCACTGAAACACAAAACCAATTTAAACCTAAAGCATTGCTTCTTCTACTGCTTGCTACTTATCTAGAGCTCTTTCTAGTGTTTACTTCTTGCGAGGACCCTTCTCCACATCTTCTTGTCAACGGACGTTGAGTAATCTTGAATTGTGCGAATCCCGGAGGCCTGGCCTCTCATGGTCTTCGGGGGGCTCCTGTTCTGTGACCTGGAAATGGTGGTGATGCCTGCACCCCCTGGTCTAGGGGTCCTGGCCCCTCTGCTCCCCCCTCCTTGCCTCTTCCCCACTCCTTCCACCTTACTCCCCTCTTGTTCCCACTTTTCCCCTCTTTCTTCTCCCCACTCCTGTCTTCCTCTCCTCTGTCACTTTGTTGTACCCCTACCATTTAGGAGACAAATACTCAGATTTAGGTCTGAGTTAGCTAGATTTTTATCTTTTCAAATCATGCTTAGCTCCCATAAAGAAAGCGGACCATCCAGGAGGACCGTCCTCCAGCATGCCACTGTGAAAACTGCCAGCCCCGAAGCCGGGTCGGGGGAGGGCTGGGTTGCAGGTGTTCCCGGTGCGCAGGAGGTGGCCGTCCACCTGTTTTTCTTTCTCTTCCCACTAATGCTTTGGGAAGTCACCTTAGGGAAATCCCATCTGTCTTGGCCCATTTGCTTACCTGAATGTAAACATCTCCCAAAGGTATTAATTTGCTGGCTTGGTTGGTCTAGAAGAATTGTCCCTTTATCCAGTTAGAGCTCTTGAGTTAAGCCATTGACAGATGTAACCTGAAATTCCAGAAACGTGGGAGAAAGGCACATTTCCTCTTGCCCTGCCTGGGATCTAGAATCCTGCTGAGGCAAAGAAACAGGACCCTGTGCACAGGTGGGCAGGTGGCTGCTGGCTGCACAGGTGGGCAGGTGGGTCTGGCGGGCGCTGCAGGTGCACGGCCCCGCCTCCTGATCCTGGCCCCGGGGTCGGTCAGGTGGGGTGTTATAAATGGAGCAGCTGTTAAGCTCCTAGTCCTCATTTGTGATACGGAGTGACCTCTGGGATGGAGTGACCTCTGGGATGCGTCACATGGGAAAATGACTTGTCCTTTGTTTACCTTTCCGCAAAGGTGACTGGCGCCTTTCCTTTCGACCATTTGTTTTTTAAATTGTAAAATCTGCATAATCTACAATTTGCCACCTGAACCCTTTTGAAGAACATCTTTGAGGTGGCAGCAAGAGCCAGGCATCACAGCCCCCCGCCCCCAGCCCCAGAACTCTTTCAGCTTCCCAAACTAAAGCTCTGTCCCCATCACCTACGGCCTCACCTCGCCCTCTCTACTGAGGTCACTGTTCTATTTTCAGCATCCATAAACCTGATGACTCCAGGTCCCTCATTCCATTGGATTCATACCACACACATCATTTTGTGTCTGGCTTATGTCATGTAGCATAATGTCGTAAAGGTTGATCCACAGTATAGCGTGTGTCAGAATCCAATTCCTTTTTCGGGCTGACTAGTAACCTGACCCCATCACATTGTGTGTGTCCGTCCATCTGTCAGTGGACACTGGCTGCCTTGCCCCTTTGGGCTGTTGTGAAAAGTGCTGCTGGAGACATGGGTGTGCAGATACTTGTTCAAGTCCACACCTCAGTTCTTGGGTACATCCCTCCATGCGGCAGTGCTGGGCCCAGAGGCCACGTCTCGTTGGTTTTCAGAGGCGCTGCCTTACTCTCCCGTCATGGGGAAGTCATTTTTCATCTCCACGTGATCACAGATTTTTCTAATAGAAGCCTCCCTGGTGGTGCTAGGGGTTAAGTCTCAGCACTGTGAAGCTATTGGCAGCCTCTACAGCACGAATTCGATCCCCAGCCAGGGAGCTACCCACATGGCACAGCAGACCTCTCCTGACTCACCCGCTGCTCCCCTTAACAGTGTATTTCAGTTGATCTGCCTGTTCTGCTCCCTGCTCTGTCTCTGGTGAATCCTCTTACCCACCCCGCCCCTGCTCCTCTGGCTGTACCCCAGCTTTTGTATGCATAAATAAATCTTTAAAAAAATTGAAGACTAATAAAGAGGAACTTCTATGAAATTTGGTATTTTGCTTGAATCAGTGGCTCCACTCGTCAGAATGCTGAATAGCTCATGGCGGCTTTTCCAGGTTTCTCAGATCTCTAGGAGCATCTTCAGAACTCTGTACCAAATGGAAGGATTCACAGTGCAGGCTGTGCTTTTTGTACAGTCATCAGATTGGCAATAAGAATCCAACATCCTCCCCACAGTCATGTTTTGAGCCTCCATCGTGCCGTTCATTTTGGAAAGTCGCCCCTAGACCGTGGCCATATCCCATTGGGATGTGTTGCTGTAGGGTAAGGTAAAAAAGTGTCAAGCTTTTCTGCCTTCCCGCCATCAGGATGGATGATGGATCCTTGCGGTCCTGAATGCATGCCTGGTGGCGGGCACCTGGAGTGGGGTGTGGGCATGCTTAAGTGGGTGCACCTGGGCTGAGAGACTGGCTTATGAGGCAGCGTCATGGGGATGCCAGCAAGAGAATGGGACAATGGAGCGAAAGAACGAGAGCACCACCAGCAGAGAAACAGGCCACAGGAGAACGCCAGAGAGCCCAGTAAGAGTGAAGACTTGCCTGGGGCTTGGGGGCCTGCCAGCCTCCCGGCCCACCTGCCTGTCGTGTCCCTGGCAAATCCCAATGGAAACCTGCAAAAGCCACCGCGGGCTCCAGGACTCCTCCTTACCCGTCTGCTTAAGTCATGGAGAACCTGCCCTCCGGCCCATCCTGCCGCTACAGCTGCTGTCGCCTCTACCGGGGACCAGTGGCGTACTGGCTGCTTTTGTTCCTGGCCAGGACCCAGAAGCGGGAGGGCATGCCCGGCTTCTAATCTCAAGGGGTTACTTCCCTGGTGTGGAACAGAGATGGGCCAGGGCAGGGGAGGGTGGTAGCGCAGGCTAGGTGAGCGTGGGTGCCTGCTTCCGAACCAGCCCTCGGCAGAAAGGGGACAGATCTGCTGGCCTGGCCCCGGCCTTAGGCCCCGTGTGCCCGGCATCTGGACCTGGGATGGGCAGGATGACAGAGTCAGCAATCAGGAGAACCAGGTGTAGGGTAAGGTAAAAGGTATCAGGCTTTTCTGCCCTCCCGCCATCAGGATAGATGAGGGAACCCTGTGATCCTGAATGCGTGCCTGATGGCGGCACCTGGAGTGGGTACACCTGGGCTAAGACTGTGCTCTTAAGGGCGGCGTCACGGGGACGCCAGAAGAAGCCGAAGCAGAAGCCGAAAGAGAAGCCAAGAAGCAGCAGAACGAACGCCAGAGAGCCCAGATAGAGTGAAGACTTGCTGGGGGCTGGGAGGCCTACCAGTCTCCCAGCCCCCCAGCCAGCAC